AAATTTTTATTCACATATTACTACATCGGGGTTTTTTTCATGTGTGTTAAACACTAAAGCCAATAGCTCGCAATCGACGAGCTGATGTCCATTGAAACTACTGCTATTGCGTATAGCGTCTTCGGACGCGATGTTGGAGAATCGCGTATACTTGACATCGACCGTATCAACGAGTCGAACTAATCGTTCGAACGTTACGTCGATACATCCGTCAAACGCGAACATTCTTCGTAGCGTCGTTTCGGTCATCGTAATGCGTACGGACGAAGAATCCAGGCGCACGAGCGTGGCATCGTTCATCGTGCACACTCTGACGGTTAGCGGTCCAACGCTTATGAAATTATCCTTGTATTCGTTGCACAGCATCTTGTAAATGTTCCATCGCTGCTCGTAGAGACCCTTCCACGTTTCGAGAGACAGCCATAGTTCGTGTCCGCGATTGTCTCCCAGGGCGATCTCCACGTAACTCGGTGGACCAACGTTGATTCCAATTTCCAAATACTTGTAGCCAGTACTTGTCAGGTTGTAACGTCTGCTCAGCAAACGCACCGCGCGATGCTCCATACTGTGTACATATATAATATTGAAAAACGTTATTTATTGTATAAGAAACGTTTCGTTTTGCGTATAGATCGTAGAAACTTACGTGTTACTGCAGTCTTTCTTCGTTTCGTACGATGTATTGCTCTCTTTGGCGAAGTACATTTTGTCGACCGTCCGTACAAGTGGATATCGCAAGACTGATCGTACCCGCGTAAATTGCTGCGTATATGGTAAAACTTTTAGAATCGAAGAGGGGGTAACCCCTCCCCTTTTTCCCAAGAATTGCGAACGTGTCGCAACACGTTTTTTTTTCTACGTACTTTCTTTGTTCGCGGTAACCCCTCCCCTTTTTTTCCAAGAATTGCGAACATGTCGCGACACGTTTTTTTTCTGCGTATTTTTTTTGTTCGCGAGTTTTATCAATGTTTATACGTTATGGCTTATACGACGACGACGACGGTGACGACTTTGATGCTTTTTCCCAAGGATATTTCCAATATTTAGTTTCTTCCTTCTTCTTCGGCGAGGTACTTTGCGATTCTTTCTGCAAGAGAGGTTCCCTTTCGCTCGGAGACCCCTCTCGCTCGACAAATTTTCGATGCAGATAACCTCTTACTCGGTCCATGTCTTAACGCCCGTAATCGAAATTTACGATTGACCGAAAAAAGCCTTATACACTGCCTATATACGTTTATACGTACACGTTTATATACGTTTAAACGCACACGTTCGTACATACGCGTTTATACTTTATGGTCTATATATGTATTATGGTTTATATTTCGATGACGTTGACGGCGTTGACGTGTTTTCAACAGGGCATTCCCAATATCTCACTTCCTCCTCCTTCTTCGGCGGTGGACTTGGAAAAAACCTGGCGAAGGTACGGGACGGTACCCCTTTCGCTCGACCGATTTTCGGTGTATGTAGTCTCTTACTCGATCCATGTCTTAACGCTCCTAATCGAAACTTGCGATTGAACGAAAAAAGCTTTATACACTACCTATATACATTGCATATATGCACTGTCAGATCGGACAAGTCACGTTTATACGTACACGTTTATACGTACACGTTTATACGTACACGTTAATACGTACACGTTTATACGTACACGTTCGTACATATACGTTTATACGTACACGTTCGTACATACACGTTTATACAAACACGTTTATACATACACGTTTATACGTACACATTTATACGTACACGTTTATACATACATACATACATGTTACATACATTCATACATATACATGTAGGAAGGGAAAAAAAGAAATATGTAATCAATACGTTAACGTATTTTTATTTAAAAATTCTTGCGCAACCACCAGTTATATGTATATTTTAAATACATTTTGTAA